GAGCTTTCTCGTATTCGTAATAAATGTTTTCACGATCCCGAAAACACCACTCCAACCGCGACACGACGCTTGGCAAGCGATAAAATGCAGGTAGTGACGCCACCATGAGATTTCCGCCCCAAACACCGTTACGTAAGTTTTTAAGCGTAAATTCTGCATAGCTTCTGATCGATAAAAATGAAGTGTGCCATAGACCTAGCACATGAAGTTTGATAAAATTCCATCGAGCCAAGTGAGAAAGCGGCGCGCCGACCAGGAAGAGCCGTTAACGCGTGCTTTGAAAGAATGATGTGAAGCTTTTGAGTGAGTATCGTGTGCGAGTCTGCGCATCTATCTGACGTGGAAGGTGCCGACTATGATGCCCAGGTCGGAAATTCCGAGTCCTCCTTTTTACCTGGGCAGCTTGAGGACCAGTCGCCCCCCTAAACACATAAACCCCTTTACATGCATGCTGGGTTACAGGAAGATCCTGCCTACTTCACGGCTTCGCGATTGGGAACCTGATCGGATAGGTGAACCCACAGGACATCATATGCTCATTTGATCACAAAAAAGCATGCCATGTATTCATCGATAAGTAATATCTTACAAGTTTAAACCAAGGCAGGATTTAGCGAGTTGTTCGTGAGCATGATGTGGCATGATTCGAGCTTTGTGTTCTCGATCACGTTAGATTCTGCCCAGGCGGGGCTACGAAGGATGAATGAATAAAGCAGTGCAGGTCGTGCAATGTCGAGCAGGTTCGTTGGTGCAGAAGCAGTGCGCAACGAAAGATAAGTTTTCCTTTATTTCTTTGTGTTTGTGAACACCATATTATTTTTCCTCTCCTAATCAATAACTTGCGTTGCGAATACAGTAGGTGTGGGACACGGGCAACGTTGCAGTGAGGTTGACCACGTGAATGGGGTAGGCGACTGTTTTGAAGAAGTTCGGAGCGCCAGGTTAGTTGTTAAACAGCTAGAGCCGAACTTGAAGGGGACCTAATGAGAGTCTATTAGCGAAATTGAACACGTGTGTGCGCGGGCTAGACAGCACCTTCTAACAGTTGTTGAGGTAGGAGAGTTAGCGGAGGCGGCTGGATTGCGGGATTAGGGTTGAGCTTGGCGCTGTCGGGCGCTTGGTTCGATGGTCGGGCGGGCGATGGCTAAGGAGACTAGGAAAACCACGGGCGAGAGTGAGCTGGTGCAGTGCAAAGAATGTAAGCGCTGATGCTTCTTAAATGAGACAAAATTCTAGAGTTTGGCCGACGCGCAGAAGGCAAGCTTCGTGTGCAGGCTGTGCGAGGCACTGAAGGCGGCCGTGCAGCGCATGGAGACTAGCATCAAGGGGCTTCAGGGGGAGCTTAGGGCGGAACAAGAGCAGAGGATAGAACTCCAAAAACAGCTCGTAGCATCGCTTGAGAGGGAGGAGGCTACTGCCAGCCTATTAGAGCAAATGAAGGGTGACCTCCGAAAAGAACGGGAAGGGCGGACCAAGCTCGAGCAGCGGGTAAAGGAGCTAATGGCGCTTTGCCCCGGCCCCGAGCGATGCGAGACGGAAGGCATGGGTAGCGGAGAAGGCGACAGGCAGGAAGGAACAGGCGAGAAGGAGGGTCAGGGGGCCGCAGTGTCTGGCCACAGCACGAAGGCTCCGAGAACATACAGCTCGGTGGCGCGGCAGTGTTCGAGCAGGAGGGTCGGTAACAGAATCGGTCGCCAAGTCATAGCTTTTTTAGTGGGACCCAGAGCCTTGAGGCCAACAGTGTAGCCAAAGATGGACCTAAAGGGGCACAAATATTCAAGCCACACGAAGTCTGTGGGAGAAGAAATCGACGTAAGCACAAAGGCCGAGCTAAGTCAGACGTAGGCTATATTAACATGCAGGGTGGCAGGAATAGGTTAAAGTGGGAAGAGAGAGAAGAGCAGTTGAGGCAGGAGGAGCTGATGGTATATAGGGTTGTGGAGACGCATCTTTGGGACATAGAGCAACCACCTTGCAATCCGGACTACGTATGGGAATATTGCAATAGAACAGAAGGCAGCAAAAATGGGGGTGGAATTGGTGCATTCATACATAAGAGCATGGGTTGGCAAAGAGTCAAGCAGGGATGCATGGAACATCTATGGTTAAGTGGGAATGTAGCTGGGCAGATGACACTCCGTTGTTTGGTGTACTTGTGGACGGGAGCAAAGGCCAGAGATGAAAACCAGGCAATGGTGGAGTGTATATCAAAGGACATTGACGAATTAGGAGGAGCGTGCAAGATAATTATACTGGGAGATATGAATGCGCACATAGAAGATATAGATGGATATACTGACTCAACAGGCAAAATGATCATGGATATGTTTGAAAGGGATGATTTGATCATTTGCAACAGTACTGAGAAGTGTGAAGGGCAAATAACGCTGGATGTAGGAAGGCTGCAGTCAACGATAGATTACGCACTGATGTCACATAGGAAGTATGATAAGCTCAGGGGAATGCACATAGATGAAGGTGGCTCCAAAATCTGGGTAGTGATCACAAACATATCAAGCTAAGTTTTCGAAAAGCAGAGAAAGTGGAAAGGAGACAAAATGAGCAATTACAGGAAAATTTTCATTCAGAAAGGCAAATAGAAATTGCTACTAAAGAAGTTTAGAAAGTAATCACTGAGGATAATAAAACAGTGTGGACATACACAAATTTAATTAGACTGTTTGGGCTAGACCTTGCTAAGGCACAATACAAGTCACCCCGAAAAAGAAGACACAAACCCAAGAGTTGGTGGGATGAGGAAGTTAAGAGAGCCATAGCAAAACGTCAGGAGGCCTCTAGGGAACACAGACATGCTAAGCAGCGGAGTGAACCAACAGATGATGTCGAAAGAAAATGGGACATCTTTTCAAGTTCTAGAAGGGAAGCATCCCTCCTGATCAATGAAAAGATTAGAAGAAAGGGTGCCCAGTGGCTGGCATAAGTACATAAAAAGGACAGAAAAGCAGCTGCGAAATTTTGGAACCATCTAAACTCCCTAAGAAATGAAACAAGCCTAGAGTAGAGGTTTATAACTACAGCTCAAGGTGCTAGGCTAGAAGGGGACGAAGCTATTGAATATATAGAAACAAGGCTGACAGAAAAATTTCAACAAAGAAGTGCCTTATGCACCACAATAGACAAGGATGGATTAAGTGGCACAATGGCTCCATTTTCACGAGAGTGAGAAAGGGCTGTTAAGAGGGTTCCAAGTAGTACATCAACAGACCCAGATGGCATCTTAATTATGCTGATAAAGACATTGGGTCCGAAGTCTATACAGACTTTGAGAGAGGCAGTGAGCAGAACAATAATCGATGGTGAAGTCCCCGATGGATGGAAACTTAGCAGGATGAACATGATCTATAAAGGAAAGGGGGACAAAGCTGACAAAAACAACTACCATCCTATAATAGTGAAATCAGTGGTCTACAGGCTGGCAATGCAGATTATAAAGGAAAGATTGCAGGCATGTATAGAAGATGAGGGGGTGCTGGGGGAACTGCAGAATGGGTTTCGAAAACACAGGAGGTCGGAATACAATCTATTATCAATGACGCAGTGCATCGAAATAACAGAAAAGAAACTCAGGCCCCTGTGGCTAGCATTTTTGGATATCAAGGGAGTGCACGATAGCATGGTTCAAGAGAAATTGTGGGGAATACTGGACACACTAGGCGTGGTACATGTAGTCACTAATCTTTTAAATGGTATTTATAAAGATAACAAGGTAGTTATAAAGTGGGAAAAACAGGTATCCAAGCCTGCAGAGGTAAAACGGGGGCTCAGGCAGGGGTATCTCGGACATACGACCGTGTGCGTCGCCGCTTCTTTTGGCTCGGTCTCGCCAGGTCGGTTCGCCGTTGCGTGTCCTCCTGCGATAAATGCCAATGTAGGAAGCGACCTACTGCGCCCGCGGCTGAACTTCTTCAACCGATCTCCATCCCAACTGAACCTTTCTTCTGTGTTGGTATAGATCTTCTCGGTCCTTTTCCTGAGTCAAAACGGGCAACAAGTGGGTCGTCGTTGCTATAGACTACGCGACTAGATATGCCATCACTCGAGCACTCCCAACCAGCACCGCTACTGACGTTGCGGACTTTTTGCTCCACGATGTCATCCTACACCATGGCGCTCCTCACCAATTACTCGCGAATCGCAGCTGCGCATTTTTGTCCCAAGTAATCGACGATCTTCTGCGCTCTTCCTCAACGCAGCATAAGTTGACTACTTCCTATCATTCTCAAACAAATGGCCTTACCGAACGCCTAAATCACACCCTCACGAACATGCTCGCGATGTATGCGTCTTCCGACCACCATGACTGGGACCTGGTCCTACCTCACGTGACCTTCGCGTACAATTCTTCGCGCCACGACACCACTGGTTATTCACCCTTTTATTTGCTCTATGGCCGTGATCCGACATTACCACCTGACACTCTTACTTCCAACCACTACAACCTCGTCAACCGAATATGCACACGACGATTTTGCTTGTGTCGACCACGCACGTTAGATCGCCCAATCTAGACATTCGGCTTCGCAAGCCACCCAGAAAGCCATCTACGACAGCTGGCATGTTGACGTTCGCTTCTCACCCGGTTCTCTCGTTCTCCTGTGGTGCCCAGTTCGTCGAGTAGGCTTATCAGAAAACTTGTTGTCTTACTACATCGGTTCTTACCGTATCATCTGCCAGGTAACCGACGTCACCTATACGATCATTCCTGCATCTGAGACCACAAGCTTGCCTGCAACCACACCCAGTGATGTTGTGCACGTCAGCAGGCTAAAACCTTACCACCTGCCTTCTCCAAACCGTAATTAATATGCACCGAGATGGCGCTTTTACCGCCGGGGTGTAATTAATGCTACGTAGCTGACATATCAGCGGTCAGAAGACGACAACGAGGAAGTGGTCCGTCGGTTGAGCGTGCCGTCCTCCATCTTAGTCGATGCTATAGGCATAAGTGTCAATATAAATTCTGAATAGACACGCCTCGCTTCATTTTTACATAACAATATTATATTTTGATATTTTGCAAGCAACAAAACAGAGGGCACCAGATTCAAGTTTACAGAAAACAAAGACAGAAAAAAAGCACCATACCACAAGTAAATGAGTAAATACTTTGCATAAGAATGGAAGCTTGAGCGAGTTCATATGGGTTCATCTCTCCGAGATGGTAAATTGAATTCAGAATGAGAGACAGAACAAACATTACGTGAACTTGAGCTAATATGACAGTACCCCAAAGTGTTCATTAATGAAATGCAAAATTTTATTTACAACATCATAGAGCAGGATTCGTGGCATCTGTTCAAATTACAAATTCAGACGAAATGGCCAAACAGTCACATAAAGTTTCTTTAAAATAAAAGATTCAGAGCTCTCATTTGAGTATGCAACTTGTTAATGTTTTTAACAACCAAAAAAAAGATGCTGGCACAATTACCAAAGCATTCATATTCATTCTGATCCCCAAAGATAACTTTCCTACAAAAAGGTAAATTGTCACTTAAAGAAAAACAATACAAAAGACACATGGAATCCCACTTGTTTAGTGAACATGTCCACTGAACCATTCACATTTAATAGGTAACTTTCTATGTATGAACACTTGGCATGTAAACTTTTTATTGCTGCCACCCCTGGGATGTGGCCCTCCATTGCTCAGAGCTGAACGCCCAGCGCTGGGCCGTCTAGCACGCCGAGGATGCTGCCAGAGTCCAGGGAGTCAATGCCGCCGCCTAAAGCCACCAAGCCCAAACTGCCGGCCCACTGTGTATATTGATATAGTCTTTTCTCTCTCTCTCCCTCAAGAATGTTAACAGAGTCAACAAACTTTCAATAGGAGATCTAATATTAGGCATTTACTATGATGGAGTGTACCGACACAAGTCCTCAAAAGGCAGTATTAAACAATTAGTGCTCTTGAATGCACGGAAAACCAAGCAATATCACATGGTCATAGATTATCTTTCAATGATCTATGACCACAGAATCTTGAGTTTCTGATTTATCAAATGTCACAAAGAGAACACATGGTGTGCATGAAGTGCACATGAAACAACCAGAAATCACTTGTGCAGCCCTTAGAATGCTTAGTAATTGTCAGCATTTTCTGCAATGTTGGATGCACATTCCGCCTTGTATGACCTTTGTTCTGGTGAAAACAACACAGTTTTACGAAAACACTTACTTATACTCTACCTAATCATCACGTGCTGTTAATTCCCTTTCCTTTATTCCTTTCAGCGCACTCACAATGATAGCTTTCCTCTATTCGTACAAGAAACAAACTTCTATGCTCCACTCTTCCTCGTTGGGAACTCTGGTAAGCTTTTCTTTGGGATCTTGCCGCATACTCAGTGCAAGGCATGTTATAATCTTATTTCACTGTCACATTACATGAACGACTACATCAGTAACTATATTGTGTTTGCAGGGTACCTGTAACTGCAGTTGCAGTAATGCTTTTTACCCAATTCTGTAGATTACAGTGAAGCAATAAGTACTCCCGAAATACCAACAAAAAAAATATATCTTACAACACTTGGTGACTCAACAGTACTATGTCTTCATCGTCACCCATGAGCACAAATAAATTGGTTTTCACTGACCTAATAATCTACAAAATATTCTAATCATCAATGAAGAAGAGCTTCAAGAAGCAATGAAAAGAAATGATGCATTTTTACTGCACTATTCTACATGAATACATATGTTTTGGAAATAATCACAAAGTGATGTCACTACGAAAACTACAACTTTGTAATTTCTTATGTAACTGAAAGTTACATTGTACTATAATAGCACTCCTAACTTGACATTGTGCACGATATAACAAATACTACAGCAGAGATTAAAATGTTTTCATTTGGTTTAACAGCTACAACGCAGTACCTCTTATGCTCAGGAAAACAAATGTTACTAGAGCCTCCTTAAAAGGGCCCTAAACAGTCTTCGAAGATACAAAAAACGAGGTCTTTTTCTCCAGCAGTTTCTCATCCTTTTGGCACAATTTGCGAAGCCAGAAGGACGATTCAGGTAATTAATGCACAAATCGTCAATTGGCCCATATACGAAAATCATCAGTTGGTAATTGTCTCCTACCCTACTTTCCTACGCTGTCATCCACCTGTGCTTCCATGTCTCACATGACTATTGGACCCAACCAATTGATTTCACTGGGCTTTATCTGTTTCTAACTGCCCAAAAAATCATACTAGCGCATAGCCGACAAGCGCGAAAAACCTTATAAACTCAAAAATTGCCGATGTTGTACACATGCTTCATGAAGAAATAAATGGCGAGAAGTCGATACTGTCCGTAACAAGGACTGTGTTCGAAGGCGCGACAGATACCACTCTCTCGTCTATGCACTAGAAGTGGTTCAGGGCCCTGTGTTAAAGGTGTCTTAAGAAAAAAAAAAAGCTTTACTAAGAGAATGGCTTTTTACAACAAAGCATTTCCACAATAATAGTTGCTACTAATGTAAATTTCTCGCTGTAACAATACTCAATGGCAATAATAAATAATTAAATCAGACCCATCACTCGGCTTGCATGGGAACATATTAAACATACACAAATGCCAGCAAAGACTGAAATACCAGGATTACAAGACATTCAGAAGATACAGTATTTTATTTAGTGTGAATAAATGTAATAAATCAAGTGATAGTTTTACAGATAAACAAGTGCTTACTTTGTGCAAAGTGCTTGTTGCAAAGACTAGAATAAGAAAGCTAAAAAATAATACCAGGAAGCAAAAAAGGCTCTCAATAAAGCTTACATGTACAGGGCACAGAGATATCAACAAAATGAACGTAAAATGCAGAGACCGCATCATATCATTCACCAATCCACACTGCAGATTGCACCAGTCATACAAGTAAAGATAGTTTATGTTATGTAAAACAATATCCCTGTGGCTTTTCGAGATAACGCGTAGACTTTTACAGCACGACTACAATTTCAAGAAGCACATGTAAGCTGATTTACAATTTAGACTTCCAAAATTATTACAATATTTTAATGTATGCAGCATGTCTCTCTGGTTGCTCATTAGCACAAATACATAGCTTTTTCCCCAAACTTGTAGCATGCACAGTAATTGACCACTAATCAAAGACTGCGAAGCGAACAACACCACTAAGAAATATCACTAGCTTCAGAGCAAGAAAGGCCAACCACTGATAAGAACGAATGGGTGTCAAATCGTGGGGCCAGTTTTTAGTTTTACTATTGTAACTTGTATACTAAGCATGACTGAATAGTGTTTTATTCACATAATTTATACCAAGCCAAAAAGACCTCTGCCAAATATGTTTATGTTTAAAACATTCTACCCTCATTTTACGGCATATGTATAGATGCTCTATTGAGAATTAAACCTCCTATTATTGTTAATAGTGGGGCTTTATTGTGTCACATAACTCAGCAATTCTACAGTGCTCCAGAAGAAATCAAAAGTACTATTAGAAAGACAGATCCCGTACAGTAGAAACTTCATTAAAATTGTCACTGCTATTTGTGCTCATGCATATGTCGGGTCCGATCTACCCTAAACCTGAACCTCTTGAAGCATATAGGGCATTGATATTTTTTTTCTCCTGTGTGAGTACACAGGTGATCTTTCAATGTGGCATTTAGTGCGAAACATTTGTCACACAAATGGCATTTATACGGGCGCTCTCCTCTATGGGTCTTAACGTGTTCATTGAAGTTGGACTTTGCTGAAAAGTCTTTCGGACAATAATGGCAATTAAATGGCCTCTCCTTTGTATGAACCCTAAAGTGCTGTGTCAGGTTATACTGACGATCAGTTTCGTAGCCAAAAAGGTCGCATCGCCGACGTTTCTTGTCCACGCCAGTAGTTGCAGGAGGGATGAAAGACCCCGATGCTGCACAAGAAAAACAAGACAAGTTACTCAAGCGTTTCTTTTTATTTGAAAACAAAACAAAGCCTAATTCTAGAATTTCACAACGCACCATTGTTTCAAAACTGTCGTGTCACAAAAGCGAAACCTCGGGTAATTTTGAGCCAGCGAGGATTTTTGCAATTTGTGCATTAGGCGAAGTTCACAGGTGTTCTATTATATTGTCCCTATCGAAATGCTGCCACTGTAGTTGTGTGCTAAACATTTGAAGAAATGAAATCAAAGTAAAGTTGACTTACACAATGCCTGATGACAAAAAAATTCAAGACTAGGCTAGTACGACTTAGGAGTTTTAAGTTTCATTCGAAATTATTCAGCCCAAATCACTATTCGCTTCGAACTACAATGGTATGTATGACATATTTGAAGAAAAATGGGCATAATGTTTCATGACCCAACTAATCTGCACACTATATATTTTTTAATTGAAGCAAAGCTTGTGCAAACACCTGTTTTTTTTTGTTCATAGGAAATGGAAACAACTTTGACTAATAGCAGGATTTCACTTTCGGCAGAACGCAAATGATGATCTGTAAAACTTGTTACGTCTTAAAATTTACTACACTTAGAAGATACAAAGCAGCATAACAAGCTTCTAAACTAAAAAATAAACAATAAAACGATGTGTGGGTAACATGTTCATTTAACCTTAAAGTGGGGCTTCTAGTCAGCACAGATTTCTTTCGAATAGATGTTTTCACGGCTTAGCATCCTGCAACGCAGTGAAGACACCTTTATAAGAGGTCAATTGCGGATTTTTATTGAACCTATTCGTTCATATCGAATAATTCGAAATGTTCAAGAATTTATATTCAAATCGAAGCAAATTCGACTATAATAATTCTCATTCAAATATTCCAAGCATTGAATATTTGCACAAGCCTATTAAAAATAACAATGTCTATATGATAGCATGTGTCATACTGTTACAGTTATTAAGGAAATGTATTATACTCAATCCATTGCTGCAGTATCGTAATATACCTTGATATCATTCAGTAAATGTACTATATAAGCGTGTGCAGGAATGTGCAGCTTGTATGCAGTAAAATATAAGCATTCCTCACGCGCAAGCATAGTGGAAAGTAAGCTACAATAATATAATATAGGACAACTAAGAAAGAACAACAGATAATCTCTTCAGCACTAAAGGCGAAAGCTTAGGGTGATGCCAGTCATAGGGGTTGGTAAGAAAATGCACATTTCATCCCCTGCTTACAAAAGACACATCATATAAAAGACAAGAATTTCTCACTGGTGCACGTAACATATAAAGGAGCTCAACTGCATTAAAGAAATGACCAGGCAAAGAAAAACCTGAAAATAGAATTTTGAAAATGCGTAGCACATTCTCAGATCAATTTTCAGGGATTATTACCAATGAAAGTACATTAATAAAACACATTGTATAACAAAAATAATTGATTAAACATGTATTAGATCAATTAACTTCCGATGACACTCGGTATAATATATAGTAGATGTCTTATCTACCTTTCATGTGAGCATTAAAATATGAAGAATGCCAAACTAGCAAAAAGCACAGTAACCTGTGTAGTGAAGCAAAACGTACTTGCAGAACTAATTATGCAATGAAATTCTGAATGCCTAATTGGTACAAAGTGGCTATGAAAAAACAACAACTAGAAAGCTATAGTACCACGATGAGAAAGTAAAAATGAGCTGCAAGAAAGCTTGCTTGCACAGAACATAGAGCTAACAAAAGTGTGAGCCTAAAAGATAAAAATTACATCTCATCATTAGGCGAGCAAAAATTTAGAAGGCACCAGTCATAAATTTAGAGGTAACAAAGACATAGAAACAAAAGTCACCTTTCCACAAATAAATGGGTAAATATTGAAGAGAGAGTAATGTTGAATGTAATAGCATAAATTTCAAGGTTGCACTGGAACATTCTGTGAAGGTACCTTGACATTAAAAAACGAGAGCATAGAGAGAATTGCTGTTCTAACAAAAAGGCAAGGCATTATTACATACAACAATTCATTAAAGTCACATGCAAAGAGGGTTGCTGGTCCTACCTAATGGGGGAATTTTGTCTGAACTGATTAATGAGCTCGGCTACTTGTGTATAAAACAGATGATCATCCCTCAGTTGCTGAACAACTGACTTCGATGAAATGCAATTATGAAAGAGACAAATGGAAGTGGGAAAATGCGTAGCACAAATATTACGAGGTCCTTGCTGTGATCCGACAGTGTGCAATGTATACTCACAAAGCTAACAGGAATATTCATTTCTGCAGACTTTGGAAGACCAGAGATTATTGGCAAAGTAGGGTATACACACAGCCCTGTATGACTGTTGTGGTTGGAAGAAACAAAGTTAAAAAGTTGCTTAATTATTTACAGCCCCATTGTCACATGTGGAACATTCGTTTGCCTCCACCCTTCCATGCACAACCATGACCATAACTTTTCTCTATTTGCAAAGTGCACATCAATTCCTAGGTAGGCCCCACTACTCAGGAGAAGGATGGTGGCGTGAACTAATGGAGTTTTTTTTTTCAAGATTCCACGCGGGGTGCAAAGCGTGGTGTGATTGTATTGCACTCACTAATACGAACTGTTATACTAATGACATGATTACATTTGCAGCATCTCTATGACTGGAATCGCAGCAATGTTTGTACCCAATTCTCTGGAATGTCACAAAGAAAATCAATAATGTGTGAATGCCAAGATCACGCTCATACAATTATTACATAATGTACACCTACACAGCATGGTGGCATAACTATATTATCTACGTTTTCACAACTCTCGAGTACAAATACAGAGGTTTTCCATGACCCCACCGAAAAATATGAACTTTACGAAAGTACAAAACATGTTGAGACTTTCTCGGTACAATTCGCTGCATGCTTGTACATGCTGGCGGCATAGGCGTGTGCAAGGTACTTCATCAAAGGGGCCCAAGGTTCACCACAATGCCCCCCCTCCCCCCCTGGCAAAGCCAACATATTGGGCAGATCGGGTGACCCCCCCCCCCCCCCACCTCCTTGGTGGTGACTCCCTTAAGTCATCAAAGTCCCCAGATTTTCTTTTTTTCAAAGTTTTTTTTTTCATTCAGTATTTATACGGCAGCTTGCCCGTGTGGGTTCACAGGAGCTTCAGTGCTGTGCTACCACCGAAACCTTTGGAGAACAGATGGCATTCATATGGCCACTATCCTGCATGAGCTCCGATGTTTTGCTTAATATTGGTCACACTATCAATCTCTTAGCTGGAGATGTGGCAACGGTGGTGGTGTCTCCATGTGGCTTTTCAGCATTCATAGTCATTGGCTGAGTGATAGACCTTAAAGCTGCAAACAAAAAAAGGTTCGAAGTCAGGTTACTAAAGCACGGGTGGAACAGGGTATGTGTGTTTGGGAGCAGTCCTGGGAGCAGGCAAAAGTGTCTTTTGTAGCAGGCTTGAAACAGGTGGAAAGGCGTTTTGGAGCAGGCATGGAGTAGCCAAAAAGACCTTTTCGTGCAAGTTTAGAGCAGATTTGGCTTTAACTGGTATGAGCTGGTCTCAGTTAGGAACTAACTGATCCCAGTTGATTTCAGTTGAAACTGGTTCCAGTTAGCGAGTTGTCCCAGTTGGGAACTAACTGGTGCCAGTTGAAACTGGTTCCAGTTAGCGAGTTGTCCCAGTTGAGAACTAACTGGTGCCAGTTGAAACTGGTTCCAGTTAGCAACTGGTATCAGTTACAACTCAACTGCTATAGTACTGTCGCGGTTAAACGAGTACAAAAAAAGATGGCCGAGAAACGCTTTTATGATGTGCACGGGGACTTCTTGCAGAAGATAGCTCCATCAACCACCGAAGATGAGAGACGTGCAACAAAGAAGCTGTTTCCAAACAGCGTACGTGCATGTCGATTGCGAAAGGCTAAACGACCTAACTTTTTTTGCTATACCGCATTTTTTTTTATCATCCCCAAAAAGTTTTTATAAAATTTACCACACACATAAACGCACCCACAACTTATCTTCAATTTTTCGAGGGAAAAAAAAGAGTTAAATACGCGAGTAAATACGGTCTTAACGGATGTGTTTCACTGCCACGGTGCTGGGCTGTTAACCTTTTGTTTTGCCTATTTATCAACTAAACAAACAGCATATAACAGTCGAGACGCATGTGCATGAAAACAGTTGGGTTGGTGCACATGTTTAATTAATTCACACCGCAATATACAAAAACAGGAAAACATCGACTTAACAAGATGGCGAAAATTGATTGATAAGTGGGGTTTTAACGTCCCAAAACCACTATATGATTATGAGAGGCGCCGTAGTGGAGGGCTCCGGAAATTTAGACCACCTGGGGTTTTTTAACGTGCACCCAAATCTGAGCACACGGGCCTACAACATTTCCGCCTCCATCGGAAATGCAGCCGCCGCAGCCGGGATTCGAACCCGCGCCCTCCGGGTCAGTAGCCGAGTGCCTTAACCACTAGACCACCACGGCGGGGTCTAGAGAAAATCGGGACGAGAAAATTTCTCGTCCCGATGGTAGGGTGGCTACTGACGGGAAAGGCACCCAACTCAACTCAACGCCAGCGAGAAATTACGTGAGATCGGACATGTCGTCGCCGAGCTAACAGTGATGTTCGTGTGAGATGCCCGAGCTATGCGCCAACGAACGGAAGACTTGAAAGGGCCGAAGCTTTGCTTTTAATTTCGACAATAGCTGGCTGGCCGTTTTTTTTTTGCATCTCTTGTCTCCGACGCAACGGGACGCCGACGGTAAATTTTTGCGTTTGATGAGGCATCTGAGGTTCTCCTCTTCAAAGTTTAATATACCTACTATATCTAGAGATCTATTATGCACCGTTACCTACGCTGAACAAGGACCACTCTTTGTTTGCCATAATTCGACGCTTACATATCGGAGTTTTAGCGATGTTTACATAGCAGTGGGCGCGCCACGTTAGAAACATTGAAATGCCAGATGTGCGTAAAGTCTAAGCATGATACGATTACAAAGAAACTTCCATTTGCGTGCAACAACCTAGCATGAATCGATAATCGATCGAGTGTTCAGGTTACGAGTTAAAATGTGCACCCCGCTACGCACTTCTTCCTTAGACGATGTAACTAATGCGACTTTAAAGGTGTAACTATAGTTAAACCATTCTGCACATCAGCAAAGATAAAGGCAGAGATCACAGCAAAGTGCCAAGTTACCTCACTATAAAAGCTAAGCGAAACAACAAGCGCGAGCAAAGTGTCCAAACGCTTTGTTCAATACACGTGGCGACGGAAATTTGCGGTTTTGGAAACTAGGAGCATTTTTCACCTCCAATGAACGGAAACACTTCATGCTAATGTCTTTTGCTATGACCCACAAGAACATGTTACTTACTTAATTTTGGTCATTCCTCGTAACTTTTGACATCAGCCGGCGGCGATCAACAAAATAAACGCACTCCACAAAATAGCCGTAAGGGCGCGTAGCAGCACCAGAGAGCGTCACGCGGCGCGACTGAAAATTAAAAAAAAAACATTACCCGACGGGCAGTGCGCACGTGCTGGGGGCGGGAAGAAGGAAAGCCCGAATTATGGGAAGATAGATGCTCTTTTGTTTAGGCCAGTGAAATAAGAGAGAGAGAGATGTAGACTTTCTTAATTTCCGGCAGATTGCTTTATCCTTGACCTGCTGGATCGCCCAAAGTTGCTTGTTCAGGCCCGAACTGACAACGCAGTCCGCCAACGCACCCGATGGTCTTCATTGGAGGCCGCGACCTCCGAATTTCTGACTAAAGCTGGACATTCCCGAAGGATATGGTAAAAAGTTGCTCTGGTGGTACAGTACTGGCATACATTAGAACTATAGTCGTTAGGATATATGTGGTGTATAATGATAGGGTTTGTGTATGTGTGTTTGTAGCTGCCACCACTGAACGGACTGGGCCCTATTTAACTTGGGGTGAGGTGGAGGGTACTCCCGCCTTTGCAGTCGATAGTGTTGAGTTATGTCATTAAATTTAGTGAGCCGATAGTCCCATTCTTACACCGGCGCAGAAAAGTCCGTTTTGGTGGCCGCTTCGTCTGACATGACTCGGAACGCGAGATTTCGAGCCACGGGTTGCGCCACTTCATTTGGACTGTCCTCCGAGTTACCTAGTGGTGAGTGGGCAGGTAACCGCAGGATGTGCATGTATTTGTCCGCCTCGTAAATTTTGCCTGTACTAAGAATCCGCAATGCCTCGGGGAAGATTCTGCCGCTGGCGTAGTTTCGAACGGCTGTCTGCGAGTCGATGATTACACATGAGGCATTAGTGTGGGCTATGGCTATCGCGATCGCCACTTCCTCTGCCATTTCTACATTCCATGTGATGATTGACGTGCTGCTTTTGCATTGTTGTGTGTGATGTACGACAGCAGCCACTAAGCGGTGGCGTTCTTGGTAGTGTGCTGTGCCAACAAAGACTGCCTCATGCTTGCGCCCAAACATCTTTGACCTGGCTCTGGCTCTACAGACACGTCTGCCCTTGTTGTGTTCAGGGTGCATTTTTCTTGGTATGGGTGGTACTGTGAGCTTGGCACGAATAGTGCGTGGTATGTCGTGTTTGTCGCCGTGTTGAATGTGATAAGAAATACCGAAATTACATAGAATCTGGCGGCTTAGCATAGTCTTGGCTAATCGCTCGAATTGGGAAATTCGTTTCGCCTCAATAAGTTCCTCAAGGGTATTGTGTAAACCAAGTTTAAGGAGGAGTTTGGTGCTGGTGTTTTGAAGCAAACCTAGTGCTTTTTTGTGAATTCTCCTAATTAGGCTGTTGAGTTTCGAGTTTACTGCAGTGAACCATCGGTGGTACACCACCGTATAGGTGATGTGACTTAGATCGAATGATTGGATCAAACGGATGATGCTAGCCTCTTTCATACCTTTGTGTTTATTGGTAATGCGCCTAATGAGGCACATCGTGTTAGACACTCTGGCTTCAATGTTGCCAAATGTCTCTCCGTTGGTACCCTTAATTTCTGTAATCAGACCTAGCACTCGGATTTTATCCACGGTGAGTTTATAGTGAGTTTTATATAGTGGGTTTTATATCAGCATGTGCCTGCGCTTGGGGATGTTGTTTGGGTGGCTGACCTCTAAGTGTAGGGCGATATACCAGTAGCTCAGACTTCTCCGCCGAGCAGGATAGTCCAGTTCTTTGTAAATACCATTCCACTGTGTCAATCCCCTCCTGTAATCTGTGCCCAGTGGAACCGTCACTGCCGTCGCGCACCCAGAGGGTGATGTCGTCAGCGTAAATGGTGTGATAAAGTCCTTGGATGGTTTGTAGTTTTGAAGGAAGACCAATGGGGGCGAGGTTAAACAACAAGGGAGAGATCACGGAACCCTGTGGCATGCCCCCGCTTCCCATGGTTATTTCGGACGACCTGAGTGCTCCCACAGCGATTGTGGCCGTTCCGCCTGTAACAAATGCTCTTATATAGTTGTACCTGCGAAGCCCCAAGTTTAGGGTATTGACCTGATTTAGAACGGTGCTATGCGTGACAGGGTCTAAAGCCTTCTTGAGATCTAGACCAAGTATGCTCCTAGTGGAGTGTCCTGTACTGTCTAATATGTGATCCTTAAGCTGCAGCATGGCATCCTGCATTGAAAGATGCCTGCTGAAGCCAATCATGGTGTGTGGAAAAAAATCATTGTCTTCGAGGTAATTTGTCAGTCTGGCCAGGAAAGCATGTTCCATCAATTTGCCTATGCAAGATGTTAAGGAGATAGGTCCAAGATTGTCAGTATTCAGCGGTTTGCCTGGTTTCGAAATAAAAATCACCTGGGCCTTTTCCGAAAACACTGTGGGGGCAAGATTCCGGTGTTCCAGCAGTTATAAATGTAGTCTGTGATATGCGTGGTCAACTCATTGTCCAAATTACGTATTATCTTGTTCATGACATTGTCCAGACCTGGTGCAGATTTGGTGTTAAGTTTTTGTAGGGCGGCATGGATATCTGCTTTGGTGAATTCTTCGTCTAGAGTAGTGTTGACCTGGCCCGTATAATCTGGATGCTGCTGAGTAAGAGCCTGAGAGATGTATTTGAGCTCTACCTCCCTATTAAACTCCGCGTCGGTGCCCTTGTATGCATGGATTAGTTTGTTGATGGTTTGTCCTTCGGCGGTTTCGTTGTCTTCTGGATCGAGCGGGAACCGTAGAAAATGCCATGTTTTACTAAGACTTAGCTGCCTGTCCATCGCATCGCAGGTTTCGTCCCAGTGTTGCCGGCTTAGCTGTGTTGCATACATCTCTAATTCTGTGTTGAGGAGCGTTATCTGTTTCCTGTGGTGTCTGTTGTGTTTCTGTGTCTTCCACCTCTTTTGGAGTGATTGCTTTGCCTCCCACTCGTGGAGGAGCCGGCTATCGATCTAGTCGAGGTGTGCCTCGGGAGGTACGATTCGGGTGGCATTATTAATATCCTGTTTAAGCGTGTGTATTCTGTCCTCTATGCCGCCAATAAGCTGGACCTGGTTTTCACGTGATTTGCGGAACTGGGTCCAGTTTACCAACTTTAGCTGTTTTCCCATGGGTTTACGTGGGCCGCCTTGAACATGTACCTCGATGATGCAGTGGTCTCTTCCCAGGTCCTCTAGGGTACTTTTCCAGGTAGCTGCAGATTTCTTTCTTGTGAATGTCTGATCAGGCATTGCGTCTTTACTGGAGCTAGTGCTCGCACGTGTGGGTGTGCTAGGGTTGGTGATGAGAGTTAATTCCTCCTGCTACGAGTCAAACCAGAGGGCCCTACCTTTAAGAAACACATAAGACTATCGCCAGGCAAAGTGTGGTGCGTTGAAGTCCCCCGCTATTAGGATGGGATTTCAGCCAGCGATGTTGAGGGCACTTTTAGAGAGTGTGAGAAATCTGTGCTTCGTTTGTTTAGGGTTGCTGTATATGTTTAGTATAAAAAGACTTTCGTGTATCCTGCATTGTGAAACAAGTTCAATAAATATATTGTCTATACTGGTAATTTCTGTGTCGTGTTGCGTGAATGTAAGGTTTCGTTAACTAGAGTGGTAAAGACAGTCGTCCCCCCGTTGGCGTGTCCAATCGAGCGATAGTCTGCCAATTTAGCGAGACAGTGCGTCTCCTGCAATAAAATGATATAGGGGTTTACTTTCTTCTTAAGGTATTGGTGAAGATTTCCTTGCTTATTCGCGTAGCTTCTACAATTCTATTGCCCAATCGTGTAGGCGTGATTTTTATCTATGATGAGATGCAGGGGGTAGGAATGTCACCGGCTGTATCACAGTGAATGCTGACGACGAAGGTTGCTTTACAGTCACCATGGGGTCTAGTTCGCTAGGTGGCAGAGGGGTGACTCTAGCCTCCACAGTGATGAGTCGCTGTTGTAGGTGTTCGTTTTGTTGCTGGTTAATTTTAGCTATATTCTCTACACCGTCAGTTAGGGCCGAGATCAGTCGGGATGAATTGCTCATCCACTCATTTATTTCTTTGACTGATTGCTGAATTTTCTTCAGGACTTTATTCTCGGGCGTCACGCATGTGGGTTTGTCATCATTCGCCTGGGTTTCGGCTCTGCGTTTGGAAGGTGGTGGTGGTGTACCTTCCTCCATTTTTTCAGTGGGTGTAACAGCAGAGAGCGGTGGTACTACTGGTGGAGCATGTTCCGTTCATTTAAAGTGGTGTAACTCCTTCTTGATGGTCCTGTTTTCCTCTCCCAAAGCTGTCATTTTCTGGTCGCATTAAGCTAACATCTGTTTTATCTGTGCTATTTCAGCCTCTAATTTATCAAGTTTGCCTTTCAAGGGTTCAGTTTGCCTATCAAAAGAGCACCTCAACATTGCTCCATCGTATCGAAAATATGTTGGGACGTGAAGACCAGCGAACAGTACAATCGCCGTCACTGTGTTGCTGAGGCGTTTCGCAGCGATGACTGTGAGGTTCTTTGTCGTAATCACTTTAGCCATAACATCTCGGGTAGTATCTTCCAACGAGATATGGATATCACGTATCACACCTTTTGACGTACCGTCTGGTGCTGCTTCGTATGTGCCGGTATCGTACGTCTTGTTGCCGACCACAATGCGAGAGATTTCCTGGTATCTATCAGCATGTGCCTCGATGGGTGTGCCCACAATGATGATATTTTGCTGGAAATTTGGGCACATTAATTGTGTCCTCATCTTGGGCTTTTCTCGGAATTTCAGCGGTGTGGTAAATGCTAGTCACCAGTCTCCATGACCTAAAGGCGGCTCCATGATCGGCAAGTCGAAGGCCACCACTAGGTCGGATGATGATTTTGTAGTCGCCTCGGAGCAGTGGAGGCATCCGGCTTAATCTTGTTACTTGACGCAGGTGTTGCTCACGCTGTTTCTTGCTGTTATTCTCTCATTGAAAATCCGCACCGGGTTCCAGTGATTGCCCGCGGGTCGACTTTTTTGATCCCACGTGCTCCATCCTGTGCTTTCT